CTGATTGGTCGGCAAGTCGATTCTGATTGGTCGGCAAGTCGATTCTGATTGGTCGGCAAGTCGATTCTGATTGGTCGAGATGTTAAGGTCCCTGTGCATCAAGATATGCAGTTTCAAGCAAACCTAAGCAAGCCTGACTAATAATCGTAAATTATTGTTCCCTTTGAAATCTGGCGTTCTTGCATCTGTCCTGATGAGTAGAAAAGGATTGACAGCCTGTCTTCTCTTTGTAACAATATCCAGGTTTTGCAGCACCAACCGTCTGTCTGTGTCATTGCTCACTGAGTTCGGTAACAAAACCACAACACTGCGTTCCAATCGCTGCTCCCTCTGAGATGAGCAGCCTTGGAAATGGAGAATGGCCACTAGGACAAGCGACTCTGAAGTAGAGTCATATCAGACTTGAAATGTTAACTCTACTTTTCACTCCATAAATGCTGCTAGACTTGCTGAGAATTTTCAGTAATACTGTTGCCATTTCAGATTTCAAACCCAAGGGCGGCATGGTTGCTCAGTGGTTAACACTGCAGCCTCACAGCGCCAGGGACCCGGGTTCCATTCCAGCCTCGGGCGACTGTCTGTGTGGAGTTTGCACATTCTCCCCGTGTCGGTGCAGGTTTCCTCTGGGTGCTCCGGTTTCCTCCCATAGTCCAAAGATGTGCAGGCTAGGTGAATTGGCCATGCTAAATTGCCCGTAGTGTTCAGGGGTGTGTGGGTTATAGGGGGATGGGTCTGGGTGGGATGCTCCAAGGGTTGGTGTGGACTTGTTGGGCCAAAGGGCCTGTTTTCACACTGTAGGGATTCTATGATTCACAATATTTTGTCTTTATGTTAGGATAAGTAAACTGGTTTCCTACTGTTAATATCTTTGTGGGTGGCAGTCTTGGTTTTAATTAGCATTCTTGCCTCTGAGTGTAGGAGGGAAAATGAGGAAAGGTTGGACAGGCTGGAAGAGTTTAGAAGAATAAGCAGCAACTTTACTGAAATCTATAAGGTTCTGTGGTGTCTTGACTAGTTGCATACAGAAAGAATGCTTATTCTTGGGGAAGAGTCTATAATTCGGGGTCACTGTTTCAAAAGAAGTGGTCACCCCTTTAAGACAGAGATTAGGAGAATGTTTTTCTCAGAGAGTCATGAATCTTCAGAACTCCCTTCCTCAAAAGGCAGTGGAAGCAAAGTGCTTGAATAGTTTTAAGGCGGAGGCCAACAGATTCTTAATAAGAAAAGGGGGTGAAAGGTTAATGGGAGTAGGCAAGAGTGGAGTAATCAGATTAGCTATGATCTTACTGAATGGTGGAACAGGCCCGAGATGCTGAGTGGCCTACTGTGGAACTGCTATCTTTACCTGGACTGAGTGCTCCATACGTTCAAGCTCACTCCAGAGATCACAGCACAGACCTGACACTTGAGCTCTGAAAGAGTAGCAGCCACGCAGAGGTGCCATCCTTTAGATGACATTGATATCCTGATGGCTCAGTCAGGAGGCTGTCAAAGATCCCACAGCACTATTTTGAATGATGAGATAGGAATTCCCTGGCAACAGTTTATCACTCACTCACCAGAAATCAGAGAATGTCAGGTCACTGTGGACGAGTTAGGCCGCGGGGTCTGGTTCTGTGCTGTGTAACTCAATGACTCAATAACTGGCCATTATTACATGGTATCAGTTCTGAAGAAGGGTCACTGGATGCAAAACGTTGACTGTGCTTTCTCTCTCCACACAGATGCTGCCAGACCTGCTGAATTTCTCCAGCAATTTCTGTTTTTGTTTCTGGTTTCCAGTATCTGCAGTTCTTTCAATTTTTATTATCACTTGATGGCTGTGCGATGTAAATCAAACAAAGAACTGTGGATGCTGGAGATGTGAAACAAAAACAGAAAAGGCTGGAGAAACTCCTGGCAGCATCTGTGGAGAGAGAGAGTCCAGTGACCCTTTGTCACAACATGAAGAATTTTTGCTTCAAAATACCTAATTTTTTAAAATTCACATCATGGGTTGTGGATGTTGCTGGCCAGGCAGCATTTACTGCCCATCCCTAATTGCCCAGAGGGCAGTTTAAGAGTCAACCACATTGCTGTGGGTCTGGAGTCACATGTAGGCCAGGCCAGGCAAAGATAGCAGTTTCCTTCCCTAAAGAACATTAGTGAACCAGATGGGTTTTTATGACAATCGACCGTCTTCATTAGACTCTTAATTCTGATTTTTATTGAATCCAAATTCCATTATCTGCTGTGGAGGGATTGGAACCCAGGACACCATGACATTATCTGAGTTTCTGGATTAACAGTCTAGTGATAATACCACAAGGCCATCACCTCCCTTTCATTGGCTGTAACTTGCTTTGGAACGTCCTGGGGATGTGAAAGGGTGCTAAAGAAACACAAGTCCTCTTCCTTCTAGTGATCAGCTGACTCAACAGTGTCAGATGATTGGACAGGGGCCTCTGTCTGCATGGCTCAGGGGTACAAATTACTAACACAATCTGCCTCTCTTACCTGGGCACTTATAGAGTCGGAGAAACAGGCCCTTTGGCTCAACTTGCCCACGCCACTCAGTTTTCACAATTAATCTAGTCCCATTTGCCTGCGTTTGATCCATATCTTTCCATATCTATCCATGTAGCTGTCCAAATGTTTCTTAAATGACAAAATTGTATTCAACTCCACCACTACCTCTGGCAGCCCATTCCAAATACTAATCACCCTCTGTGTGAAAAAAGTTGCCCCTCTGGACGCTTTTGTATCTCTCCCCTTTCACCTTAACCCTATGCCCTCTAGTTTTAGACTCCCCTACCTTGGAGAAAAGCTGTTGTCTATCTTCCTTATCTCTATGTCTCTCATGATTTTATAGATGTCTATAAGGTCACCCCTCAGTCTCCTATGCTCCAGGGAAAGAAGTGCCAGCCTATCCAGCCTCTCCTTATAATTCAAACCTTCCACTCCAGGTAGCATCCTAGTAAATCTTTTCTGGACTCTTTCTAGTTTAATAAATTCTTTCTATTGTAGGCCACATACTACTCCAAATGTGGCCTCACCAACGTCTTATGCAGTTGCAACAAGATGTCCCGACTCCTATACTCAATGTATTGATCGATGAATGCAAGCATGCTGAAAGCCTTCTTCACCTGCCTACCTGTGATTCCACTTTCATGGAGCTATGAACCTGTATCCCTGGATCTCTTTGTTCTGTAACACTCCCCAGGGCCCTACCATTGACTGTGTAAGTCCTGCCTTGGTTTGCCCACTAAAATGCAACACCTCGCATTTATCTAAATTAAACTCCACTTACCCAGCTTCCTCTTGTGATAGCTCTTTGCCTCTGGGTTATAGTCTGGAGGGTAGACCAGATCCTTGAACTCCTCAGCCAGCTTCCCAATCCTCTTGTCAATCACATCATTCTTCGGCACTGTGTGGAGAACAGACTGTTTAGGTTTCATTTGTCACCTGTGTGTGTGTGTGTGTCTGTGTCGGTGTGTGTATGTGTGTACGTATGTGTATGTGTCTGTGTGTGTGTGTCTCTTTCGGTGTGTGAATGTGTGTGTCTCTGTGTATGTGTGTCTCTGTGTATGTGTGTCTCTGTGTATGTGTGTGTGTGTGTCTGTGTATTTGTCTGTGTGTGTGTTAATTTCCTTGTTTGGAGGTTGTCCCCTTGCCTCCAGGTTGATCTGTGCTTGGGCTTGGGGCCATGGGTATTAGACACTGCGTGTGAGTTGTACCTCTCTCAGCAGGTCAGGATGAGGTTGTTGCTGAGCTCACCGGGTTCCACTAAAGCCAAAGGATCACCCATTGCGTCTTCTCCTCCTGCCCTCATGCCTATACTTCCACAGCCCCAAAACATCTCTTCACCAACATGCAGTCCCTTTGCCGACACTCAACCCTACAATAACTCCATCCAGCTCAGTTGCTCCCACATTTCCCTAAGCTTCCCCCTTGCACACCCAGTTCCCCGCTCCACCCCCAAGCTCCCAACCCCCATCTCTACAGAAATCCCAACATTCACACATTTAGATTTCCCAGGATGGAGACCCATTGGGAGGGGAAATCATGGCTCATTTCCATCTCACTGCTTTGTGGATGTTTCTTCAGTTGGAAAATGCTTCCCTGTTATTTTGTGGTGATGTCGTCAACTAACCTGCTGCAGGCTTTGATTTGATTTATAATTGTCAAGTGTACCTAGATACAGTGAAAAGTTTTGTTTTGCGTGCAGTGCAGGCAGATCATACCAAACAAAGATCACAGGGTGACAGAACAGAGTGAGGAATACAATGTTACGGTTGCAAAGAAGGTGCACAAAAAGCAAGACCAACATTAGATCTGAAATTTGCAAGGTCCATTTTGAAGTCTAATAACAGCGGGGAAGAAGCTGTTCTTGAATCTGTTGGTCAGTGTGCTTAAGCTTTTCCATCTTCAGCCTGACAGAAGAGGTTGGAAGGGATTATAACCAGGGTAGGAGAGGTTTTTTATGATGTTGGCTGCCTTCCCGAGGCAGCGAGAAGTGTAGGTGAGTCAATGGATGGAAGGTTGGCTTGTGTGATGGACTGGGCTGTTCACAACTCTCTGTAGTTTCTTACGGTCCTGGGCACAGCAGTTGCTGTACCAAGCCACGGTGCATCTGGGTAGAATGCTTTCTAAGGTGCATCTGTAAAAGTTGGTGAGGTTCCTTATGGACATATATACATACAGGCTGCAGCTGAGCAGGCTCTTCTGCTCTGTAACATGACTGTTACATACCCTCTTTTGTCATTTGGCAGTCTCTAGGAGCTACACAGTGGGATACTCACGTGTCAAGTCTTCCATCTCTTCTGGCTCCTTTAAATCGAGTGCCAAAGCCTCCAGATTACGGAAGTGCCGCTGAATGACTGGATTCTCAAAGCTCTCAGGCCTGTTGCCAGAGAAATAGGAAATGTCACTGTTTTATCTGTAGGAAACACCGCAGGGAATATCCATTTCCTGTTCATCTGCACAAGCGTATATCATTTTTAATCTTTTAGTTCTTTAAGTCTTTTGTGGGAAGTGAGCAAGGCCAGTGTTTGTTGCCCTCGAACTGAGTGATGCGTGAGGCCATTTCACACCACACTGCTGTGGGTCTGGAGTCACATGTAGGCCAGACCAGGTGAAGTTTGGCAGATTTCCTTCCCTAAAGGCCATTTGTGAACCAGATGGTATTTTTCTCCCCTCAACAATCTCATCACTGAAACCAGCTTTCAATTCCTGCTTTGATGGAATGTGAAAGGCATTTCTAGTGTTGAGCTGACTCAACACTGTTGGATGATGGGATAGGGACCTCCTTCTCTGTGTGGCTCAACTCTATCCTGAGAGGGGCAACTTACTGACACAACTTACCTCGCTTTAATTAAACTGACTGAGTTGGTTACATTTGCAGTGCTTATAATGCCACCTTATGAGCCACTGTGCCACCCCCTAATGTCGCTCGCTGATTGAGAAACAGCAAAAGAGGAAAATCACAAAGGCCAGACATGGGTATCAGGCTGCGGGGAGCCTTGATATGCTTTTCACCCAAACTGAAATGTGAAATTCTCCTTGGCTTTCTGCTGGCTATAAAGGTACTGGTGTCTTTCCCCCACTCCTAACATTCCATGGGCAGTGCCATGGCTCAGTGGTTAGCATTGCTGCCTCACAGTGCCAGGGATCCAGGTTCGATTCAACCCTTGGGCGACTGTCTGTGCGGAGTTTGCACATTCTCCCTGTGTCTGCGTGGTGCTCCGGTTTCCTCCCACAGTCCAAAGATGTGCAGGTTAGGTGGGCTGGCCAAGCTAAATTGCCCGTAGTGTGCAGGGATGTCCAGGATGGGTGGGTTAGCCACAGGAAATGCAGGGTTACAGGGATAGGGTCTGAGGGGGTGCTCTTCGAAGGAACAATGCAGATTAGTGGGCCAAATGGTCTGCTTCCACACTGTCAGGATTCTATTCCATGTTTCCAGTGTTGGTAGCCTTGCCTTCAGCCACCTCAAATCTAAGCCAGTGCTTCCAAAACTTTTCCTCCCTCGCTGTGACCCCATTCCGAAGCTTGACGATCACTGTCACCCGTTGGTGAAACTGGCGGGGGTGGGTGTGTGTGTGATGGCAGTGGGGAACACCTCAGGGAGAAGAGGGTCAGTCATTGCTGCTTCAGAGCTCTTGATCCTATTTGGGGTCCTCACTGGGGGAAGCCCTGTGGTAAGCCCTGACGGTAAATTCCTTCCATAACCTTCACTCTCCACCTTTTAAGATGCCTCTTAAAACCTACCTCTTTAGCAAAGTATTTGGTCACATGCTCTAATATCTCCTTATATGGCTCATTGTCAAATGTCACCCAACTGCACTCCTGTGAAGCAGGTGTTCTAACCTATAAGGTGCTATACAAATGTAAGCTCTGTAGGAGCAGTTTCAACCCTTGCAAAGGTGTCTAGCACACAGAGCCCTCCTCAGTACAGCAACGGCTGAGTTGTGCTCAGCTTTTAAGGGCTAAGAGAATATTCCCTAGACCGACCTGTATTTAAACCGAAGTTTCTGCACAATGAGCTTCATCTTCTCGATCTGATCCTCGTTGGCCACAGCCTTCTCCGTAAAGTCCACCTTTCTGATGTCATCGGCGTAAGGCAGAAAAATGAGGTGGAATCCTGATGGGAAAATGTTGCAACAGTTTTACCGGTATCTAGAGCTGGTAGAGTGTTCTGCACTTACAGTCTGCGTGAGTTAGAAATGGTGTCCTTGATGGGCCTCAGGATGAACATTTCTACACAAAAGAGGGCACATCCACCACCAGTAAGAGCAACGATCTTTACAACTACCTCCTGCAAACCACAACTGTGTCTTTTTTTGGGGGGAATGGCGGGGGTCCTATGGATGCCAGGAACCTTTGGGCACTTTGACAATTAACAACAGAAAACCAAGATTCCGTCTTCCCTCTTGGCTGGAAGTTAACAATCCCTTGCACTATTCTGAACACGTAGCAGGAGTGTTCGCCTCAGTGTCCTGACTGATATTTTACTACTCAATCAGAGTCACTCATTTTCACATTGCGACTTGTGGGAAATTGACGCATGCAAAATGACTGCCACATTCGCATTTTCCAACAACATCCGCAAGCCAAACATTCACTGGCTGTAAAGTGTTTTGGGATGATACTGAAGCGATGAAAAATGCCTTAGAAATGCAAGTCTCTCTTTGGCTTCAGTCAGCAGACAGTGTGAAGGTGGAGAACCTCAAACCTGAACAAAGATGAAAATTAAATGTTACTCACCCAGTCAGGAAGTGCCACTAACCTGGAGGGATGATCTGCATCTTCTGATCGTCGAGCTGCTCCTCTTGTGGGACCATCGCCACAAATCGGGGTGGGATGTTCCTCCGGGGAGTGTACCGGCAAACAGCGAACACCTCCTTCTCCAGGCACTTGGTAAGCAGCGCACTGAATAAAGTGGTGCTTCCTGTCAGGAATATCAACACAGACACAGACCTCAGCAAAACCTGCATCAGCTCTGACCCCAAATGCAAGCAACTGTTGAGGAGCACGAGCTGAGGAGCAGGGCTCTCCATGTCACCTAACGAATGGTAACAGTAAAGACAGCCAAGAATATTATTTCATGTTTAACCAGAGTAAGAGGGCCCTGAACATGACATTTATATTCAAAGAGTGAGCACCCTTTGGAATTATCTATTAGACAGAGCAAATGGACAGAAAATTGAGTGCCATTCAACACATAACCAGAGTCATGCAGCACGGAAACAGACCCTTCAGTCCAACTTGTCCGCATGGACTTGACATCCCAATCTGACCTAGTTCCATTTGCCAGCATTTGGCCCATATCCCTCTAAACCCTTCCTATTCATGTACCTGTCCAAATGCCTTTTAAATATAATTGTACCAGCCTCCACCACCTCCTCTGGCAGTGAATTCCATACACACACCACCCTCTGTGTGAGAAAGGTCCCTTTAAAATTTTTCCCCTTTCACCTTACACCTACAGCCCCTAGTTTTGGACTCCCCTATCCTGGGAAACAGATGTTGGCTGTTCACCCTATACACGCTCCTCATGATTTTATAAACCTCTATACAGTTAATGAGGAGGCAATGGCCTAGTAATATTATCACTGGACTGTAAATGCAGAGACCCAGATAATGTTCTGGGGGCCTGGGTTCGAATCCCGCCACAGCAGATGGTGGAATTTGAATTCAATAAAAATATCTCGAATTAAGAGTCAAATGATGACCATGAAGCCATTGTGGATTGTCAGGAAAAATCCATCTAGTTCATTAATGTCCTTTAGGGAAGGAAACTGCCTTCCTTACCTGGTCTGGCTTACATGTGACTCCAGACCCACAGCAATGTGGTTGACTCTTAACTGCCCTCTGGGCAATTAGGGATGGGCAGTAAATACTGCCTGGTCAGCGACATCGTCATCCCGTTAATGAATGAAGGAAAAAAAAACCCTTGGCCTCTGATGCTCCAGGGAAAATAGCTCTAGACTATTCAGACTCTCCCTATTGTTCAAACACACCAGTCGGGGCAACATCCTTGTAAATCTTTTTTGAACCCTTTCAAGTTTAGCAACATCCTTCCTTATAAACCAGACACACAGGATCATAAAAAATAAAAGCAGTAGTAGGCCATTTGGCCGTCGAACCTGTTGTGCCTTTATTTATTCTCTGACTGGATGTCGGTATTGCTGGCTAGTCCTTCCTTACAATCCCTGATTGCCCTCGGACTAATTCACTCACAAGAGGATAGTGAAGAGTTAACCACATTGCTGTGATTTGGAGTCACCTGTAGGCGAGGTCAGGACGGCAGATTTACTTCTTTGAAGGACAGTAGGAATGGCTGAGAAAAATACATGTTTTGTTGGAGCATTTTTTCTTGCCATTAGGACACGTCACAAGAATTACCAAAGTAAAAGGAAAACAACATTTACACTGTGTGAGAAGAGAATGCTGATCGGTAGGCAAGTGGATTCTGATTCATAGAAGCATTGCCATGAGGAATGTATCAGTTAATGACAACTGACAGTAACTGCCAAGATTTGTTTAAATTTTAAACAACAACTGACTGATCAAGGCATTGACTTGACATAGGAACCAGACAAAAGCTGTCAATTATTATGTTGATTTGAAACATGTGCAGCATATATACATCCTTTTGGTCTGTAAAAACCAAGACTCATGTGAAGAATTACACCAACCAATTCAGGATTGTCTGTTTGCGTGTACTGGAATACACAGAGAACCCTGTTCTTTACAGACAGAAAGAACATGTACACATACACTGCACCAGTTTTAACTTAACAAAATAGGCAACTACCATTCTCCAGTTCATTTCTCAGGGCAATGTTTTGACCAATCAGAGTCAACTTGCCGGGTTGAAAACTTAAGCAAAGCTTCGTAGTTTTTTTTATTCATTCATGGGATGTGGGCACCACTGGATGGAGACAGCATTTATTGCCCCATCCCTAACTGTTGAGAGTTAAGAGTCAACACATTGCTGTGGGTCTGGAGTCACATGTAGGCCCAGACCAGGTAAAGATGGCAGATTTCCTTCACTAAAGGGCATTAGTGAACCAGGTGGATTTTTCCAACAATCAGCAATGGTTTCATGGTCATCAGTGGACTCTTAATTCCAGATTGTTATTTTTTCCCACAACATGTTGGAACATTTGCTGCTATTTATAAAGTATTTTTCATTCTCCATACTGCCAGCACAGTTTCCCCATGGTGGGATTTGAACCCAGGTCGTCTAAAAATTTCCTGGGTCATTGGATTAACAGTCTAGTGGTAATACCACTAGGCCATTGCCTCCTCAATCATCAAGTGTCAATCATTATTAATTCTCCATGACAATGCCTCGACCAGGGTCCACTTGCGAACTAACCAATGCTCTCTTTTACTTTGGGGTTTCTCATGAATTGTCCTGATGAGGGCACAATGGAAAGCTTTGACAAAACGTGTGTTTCTTCAGCAATTCCCAAATTCTGTTCAAGCTATAAACACTAGGACATCAATGAGCCCAGATACATTTTGATCACAATTGATGATCATTGTCATGCTTATTGCTATTGAAATTAGCTTGAGAAATCCAGACTTATGAGTTGAATTTAAATTCCACCAGTTGCTGTGGCAGGATTTGAACTTGTGTCCTCACAGCTACTCAATAAGATTATGGCTGATCTGTTCGTGGCTTTAACTCCACCTGCATGCCTGTCCCCATAACTGGTGACTTCCTTATTGATCTAAAATCTAACTGAGCCTTCAATGTATTCAATGGCTCAGCCTCTGCTGATTGCTGGGGTACAGAGAATATCATAGACTAGTAGGAGGCAGTGGGCCAGAGGGAGCAGTTACAAAGAGCTGAATGCCATTCTCCCATCTCTAAGTCATCAAGATTCTCGGGTCATATCAAACAGTGATAAGTTCCCCAAAATAGAGGTATTCTGAACAATGACACATTAGCACCAGCTCTCTTTAGTCTGGTTGCAATGTAAGTGGATGCAATGCCACGAACCCCCACCATGGTAATATCTTTTTCCACAACATGTTGGAACATTCGCTGCCAAGTAAAAACTATTTTTCACTCTCCATACTGCTGGCACAGTTTCCCCATCATTTCTCCCGAGTGGGTCTGTAATCTGAACCATCAACTCAGTGAGGACAAATAATGAAGCCTCGAGCCATGCTGGTAGCTGTAACTGTGGTCACAGGTTACCTGTTATCATTGGTTAACGTTTCGGGTCCGGTGACCCTTCCTCAGAACTGATGGTGGCTGGGAAAACAGTTTATATGCAGAAAATAGGGAGGTGGGTGGGGTAGGGAGTAA